GTGAAAACGCCCCCCCCCCCCCCCCCGACGCATTTGACGCCTCTGATTGGGGATGGCGGTCACAGTTTTGGGCAAACTGGGTTTGCAACCAAGCTCAGACTCTTCTCTAGTACCAATGCACTTAGGTCAATTATGGTGAGTGTGCTCTATGACTGCCTGATCGCTTGTATGATGGCAATTTGTAGCCGCCCCCCACCCCCTTCACTGCCGCTGCAGGTTATCCTGAGCTTCGCTGTCCCCCCTGCTGGCCCAGGACTGGCACAGCGGCTCCTTACAATAGCAATGGAGGAGAGATCAGCATTCCCCCACTGCTGATGTCTCCTCCGATGCTTGAAGCTGGATGTGATGTTTATATCACTTCTGCCTTTAGCTGTCATTTATCTGGCTGCTATAGCCAAAGAAGAAGCTGGTTAAGCAGATCTCAGCTTCTTTGGGGGTCCCTAGGTGACAGGGGTCTTTGAGACCCCTAATGTCTCCATGAAGAGGGACTTCTTAGCCCCCTATGTGATAGCAAAGACGTTACCTATTTTTCTTACCTAGACGATGATCACATACCTTCAGACGTTCCAAGCCCGGGATACACGTGTTATAGCCAGAGAAGAAGCTGGTGAAGAACAGTTTGTGTCAGTGGGGTCCATAGAGGACACTAAGAGATCCCTGATGTCTCCATAAAGAGGACCTATCACTTCCATTATGCTATCACATAGGGGGCTTGTTAGCCCCCTATGTGCTATTTCAAACTGCAATAGACAATAGCAGGCTGACTATTGAAGCCCTGCCCATTGAGTAGAGGAGCGACCCTGAGAGAGTAAGTTCTCTCTAAGGTCCGTTCCTTTGAAACAATAGCCAGCCAGACATCATTCACATTGAACATTTTGAAGCCAGAGACAACCAGACAAGTTGCATAGGCTGACCATACAAACAAAAGAAAAGCTGGCCGGATTCCGCCTGGATAGTTTATTGAAGCGTGTACCACATCACTTGTGTCTCACCCAAGGTCCGCCCCTCTAATGCGTTTCACCCAATCACAGGCTTAGTCATAGATATCTATGACTAAGCCTGTGATTGGGTGAAACGTGTCAGATGGGACAAACCTATTGCAATCTTTTCCCGCTGTTTACATCCTCCTGTTCCTGGTACATAACACTCTAATTCTATGCTGTTTACAGTACATCATATTCTCTTCTATCACAGTTCACAGAACATCTTCCTCTGTTCCTGGTCCGTTACATTTTCTTCTCCTGCTGTTTACATTCTCCTCTGTTCCCTTTCCAAGCCCTGGCATTACAGGTTACTGCCACTTCCTTTTTGTGCCTGCTGTCACTGTTCCCTATTGCCACCTGCCCCTTCCTAATGCCACTGTCATTGATGCCCCATACCTCTCCTATCCCAATTCCACCTTCACTGATACCCGAATCCTCCTCTCCTATCCAGATCCCTCTGCTTCTCAACTCCATGACCTCCTCCTATATCCACGTCTCATCATCATTGATCCCTGCAGTCTCTCCTTAATTATTAAACCACCAGGGTGAAACCTGAAGAAATGTTTAGAGGTCCCTGTACATAGAAAGCTTAAATTGAAGCTATCAGGTCTTAATATTTATATAGCTGTGCCATTGATATACACTGCCTGGCCAAAAGAAAAATCACCACCTGTATTTCGTGCAGTATTATGATCTGGGGTTGCTTCAGTTGGTCAGGTTTAGGTTCAGCAACGTTATGTCCCCGAAAAATGAGGTCTGCGGTCTACCTGAATATACTGAATGACCAGATTTTTTCATCAGTGGATTTTTTCTTCCCTGATGGCACATTGGACATATTCCAAGATCACAACGCATGAGACATCATTGTCACACATGGATTGGCCACCACAGAGTCCAGACCTGAAACCCATTGAGAATCTTGCTGGAGAAGACTTTATACAGTGGTCTGACTCTCCCATCATCACTTCAAGATCTTGGTGAAAAATTAATACAACTCTGGACGGAAATACATTTTTTGACATTGCATAAGCTTATCGAAACAATGACACGGAGAATGCATCCCGTAATCAAAGCTAAAGGCGGTCCAATTAAATATAAGAGTGTGTGACTTTTTTTTTGCCAGGCAGTGTACTTCTTTAATGCATACACAGTCAGTTTTCCATTACTGGAGCCTAAAGGCACATAACCTTTGGCACCCAGTGCAACAACCATCTGCTGGGATCACATCTTTTCATTGCACGTTGCATTGATGACTACTGCAGTGCATGAAAATACGTGATTAGTTATAATGTACACAAAAGTGAATGAAAACATGCATGCAAGGGTGTGAATCCAGTCAGTTGGCTCCATTCCCACCTATGCGTTAATGCACATTCAAGCATGTGCAGAGGTTTGCCATTGTTTTTAATGGTGCTTAATTATAAAAGCAGTGCGTTACATACATTGGCCAAATTATTGGGGACATAATACAAAATGAAGATGTTTGGGTGAGGTCTTCTGATTGGCTTATAGTGAGCCAGTCAGCTGAAAGCAGACCCCTCCCCAATTCTAAAGCAGACCCCTCCCCAACCCTTCTCTTGGAGCAGGCTACTACCTCTTCTGGTACTATGCAAGAGTTCCAATGTTACAAAACATTGCACCAAGCCTCATACAGGTAGTGTAAAGAGGCGCACCATGCTTTAAAGTATGGATGCACCGATAACGTTTTTTCGGTATCGAGTAACGATATTTTTTTTCCGGTACTCGAAGATACCGGAAGTCCCATTAAGGAAGCCAGGTGGCGTGTAATGATTCTCCACCTTGCTTCCTGATTAGCCAGGAAGCCGGGCAGCATGTATGGACTCGCCACCTGGCATCCCGATTAGCAGGGAAGCCGTCTTCATGCCTCGTCACAAGGTGTATGGGGGACGAGGGAGCATGGAGCCAGCTTTCTGGCCAATCATGAAGCCAGGCGGCATCCTAAATGTCCAGAAAGCCGGTTCCATGCTCCTTTGTCACCAGGTGACGGGGGAGCATGAAGCCGGCTTTCTGGCTAATTAGGAATCGGGGGGGGGGGGG